CAGTCAGTGCCAACTACAACACCGGAAGAGAAATTTTTTATGATACCATCCATCGTCACGTAGGTGGGTATGTGATCACTCCCATGGGTCTCAATATCGCAAATCCATTTAACTTTCTGAGAGAAGCACCGTGACACCAATGTCAGGTCAAGGCAACTGCCATACGTGAGACCCCGCAGATATGTTGGGGTACCATTGTTCATGATTGAAAGGGCCCCTGGCATTCATCCTAGTGTTCTCCCAAAGCATGTGATGGGCGTTGAAGTCACCGGTGATGATCAAAGGCCCATCAGTCCTCATTAGGATGTCTTTTAATCTGTCGCAGTCAAATCGCGATGACGGAGATTTATATCCACCAATAAGCGTGAACGAAACTACATTCTTCTTTACCCGAAGACACACGTACTGATTGTCGTCATTTGAACTTATTGGGTGCGAAAGATAAGTGAAGTCTGTGCGAATGTAAACAATTACTTTGCTTCGTTCTTCGCAAGTGGCTGAACAAAAAGCTTCATAACCGGACAATTTATAAGGCGTTGATACGTTTGGTTCACATATGACAAGTATAGGGAATTGATTGGCCCGAACAAATTGGCGACAGTCCGAGATACGGGACTTCATGCCTCTGGCATTCCACTGAAAAATCGAAGCACTTTTAACTTCAGTGCGGAAGATGAGATTTTGTTGAGCCATTGTGCTTATACGAAGTTAGCAAGAACTGGATTCAGTGCATCCAGTATTTGCAGTGCACTCTTAGCAGATTGAGATTGTATGCTGCTCAGTAGCGTGCGAATCGTGGCAATTAATGATTGCACGATTGCAGTCACTTGCCTGTCTTGGTTAAAAAAATCTCAAACCGGGATCGTGGACTGGCCGTCATGAAACTTCTTCGGTTCGCTTGATGCTGCTTCCCTTTGAAGTGCAGGCCACTCTGTCGCAGTTAGGGTATGTTCACAGGCTTTGTCCTTTACAGCCTTTCCCACAGCATGTGGTCTGGGAGGCAAAGGAGGTGGTACTGATGAGGAATCTGGCAAACGTGTCGAGGAGGTAGCGGGCGTCCTTGAAGACCGACGTCGACGTGAACGACGCCTTCTGACTTTAGCTGCGGCTTCTCGATGAGATGAGTGATCGCGCACCATCTCCTTCAAGATGGCAATTTCCTTCTGAATCCGCGGGCAGTCCTTCAATGTGGCTTCATGGGATCCATTGCAATTAGAGCATTGTTGTAACACACATAGTAGGTATGTAGGTGGTCAAACCCCGACAGTCGGAAAGTACAAACAAGCGTATGTTGCACCCTCGTAAAACGAACCCAACTAAATCTGCCGCACAGGCTGACGTTTTGCAGCTGGTCACCTGGACGTTTCTTTCATTTTTGCTGGCTGACTCTTGACTAGAATACTTTATTCAAACAACAGAAAAACTCATTCCCCTTGGGTGATTTTATCGTTCTTTGTTTACGCTATTAAAGTTCACGTTAAGATGCTTTAAATTTATGGAATTGTGCCGACAAAAGTGCAGAAGCTAAAGGTATACGAATGCCAGACGAAAGTTTTCTGTACTGGCTTCACAAAAATTTAAAACAAGGAATAGATAGTAAATTGTTGGCAGCACATAAAAACTTTGTTTAGATGTACAGCTGCCAGCCCATTTAACACGAACGCTGCGCCACGTGTCCTGCAGCAGTTTGATTGACGCTGAAACCACGTACGTTTGGGTTCTGTGGCCAGGATGCTCACAATACATGCTGGCGTACTGCCCAAGCCTACCGAGGTATTATCTCCGCAAAACCGCCCAGCATTTCGTGGCTGACATCAATTAAACAAGCCCTCGCCATGCATCGAAGTGTTCATGTTAAAGGTGATGACGGCTGTACATAATGAAAAGACGAACGAAAACACGATACGTTCATAGTTCACAATACTCAGTGACAAATCTCTAAAAAGCACGTTTGCATAGAACCAAGCAAATAATCCGTACACAAGAGCATACACGTTATGTACTTTTTGTTAAACACAATATTTGCGAAGGAAATAAGTAAACAACAAAAGAGTAAAGACACAAGTGCCACTAAATAATTACCTGACATGTCAAACAAACAAAATGTATACTTATAGGTATTATAGTATGTCACATTATTTTAAATAGATAACCTGAAAGTGAGGACTTTATTCATGAGCAAACATTTTGAGTTGTTTCTTATATTTCGACTGACATCAGTCCTAATTTCTTGGAATCTATTAAAGAGTGACATGGTTGTATATTTAATAAATTTCCTTCCGTAACTGATTCGGTGTTTTTGGCATGTGCAACTTTTGTGCGCTACGTTGATTCATTGTTGATGTTATTTATTTATTTATTTTATTTTCGATACTGCCAGTCTCATACGAGACTAAAGCAGAAGGACATTAGTTCTTGGATACACAATACAGTTTTCAGTTTAACGTCTATACAGCGGCATATTTGTCAGAACGTCTAAGAATGGCTGGAGGCAAAAATGCCTGTAGGGGTCTCGAGGCAAAATTGTATAAGTACATTCTGAAAAAAATGGCGTTAAGTGTATACAAACACTGAGCAATTGGTACGTACTTAAAGACGGCATAAAAGACAGCTCTTATCTAGTAGACAATACAACACTAGTTGTACACAAACACAAGAGCACAGGGAACAATACAACAGAAAAATACACACTTAGGTAACTTTGAACCAGTTACTGCACCCAGCAAAACAAATTCGTTTATGCGCATTTGGACGCGAACATTTATTCCACAAAAAATAACCACTAGGAAAAAGACAATACAACACTAGTTGTACACAAACACAAGAGCACTGGAAACAATACACGGGAAAAATACGCTTTTTGATAACTTAGAACCCGTTACTGCACCCAGCAAAACAAATTTGTTTACGCGCAATTGAACGCGAAGATTTACTCCACAAAAATAGCCGCTAGAAAAAACGATAATACGGCTCATCAAAAGAGAAAAATATATCTGGAAAATTATTTGCAGAACATGTCCTCAATTTTCGAGGTGAACTCTGACAATGATTGTACACTGGTAATCGAGGAATGTAGACTATTTCATTCACTTATTGACAGGGGAAAGAATGAATGCTTGAAGCAATCGTTGTTCAAGGTGTATTCTGTAATAGTGAACGCATGTTTGTGTATTAGGTCTCTGGATTCTGCTAGGGAGATGTATTTTGATGCATTGATGCGGCTGCGGTTATGAAGCAGGTTGTGTAGAAATTTTCATCGTGCCAGTTTTGCTCTTGTCGCTAGCGTAGGAAGACCGCAAGATTCTAGAAGGTTTGTAGGCAAGTCAGTGCGTTTATACTTGTTGTAGATAAACCTTACGGCCTTCCTTTGTACCCGTTCTAACCTTGCGATATGGGTGGCATATTGAGAGAACCAAACATTGTTGGCGTACTCTAAAATTAGACGAACGAATGCTCTGTAGGTTAAGAGCCTAGTATGGGTTGTTGCAAGTGAGAGATGCCTTCTTAAGAAAAAAAGATTGCGCAAAGTGGCAGCTGTGACGTTATTTATTTGCGCTTCCCATCTGAGATCAGAAGTTAATGTAACACCGAGATATTTCTGCAGCGTGAATCTTTGTAAAAGTGTGTTCTTTATTGTGTAAGTAAACTCAGGCGGTGCCTTTTTTCTGGTCACCGTCATAGAGAGACTGTTTTTGTTGAGTTTATCGACATTTGCTATTCTTCCCACCAGTGAGCAATTTTTTCCTATGAACTATTTAGTGCCTAGTGATCATCGCTGTCTTTAATTTCCCTGTAAATAAAGGAGTCGTCAGCGAAGAGCTTAATTTTGCAGGATATGTCGGCTGTAATGTCATTTATATAGATAAGAAATAATAATGACCTAAGGACGGAGCCTTGAAGCACACCAGACTTTACAGAAGCCGTCCCTGTTAGTGAGCCTTCGTGAACCACAAACTGTTGGCGGTCACTAATGAAATCTTTTACCCAATTCGTAATCTATCCACCCCCTATGATGTTTTCCAGTTTTAAAATCAGTTTGGTATGACAGACACGATCGAACGCTTTTGATAAATCAAGCAGTATTATATCTGTTTGGGAATGGTTATTTACACAAATGGCGACATCTTGAACAACTTCAGTAAGCTGGGTTAAAGTTGATAACCCTTTCCAAAAGCCATGCTGGTGGGGAGACAGAAGGTTGTTATTTTCTAGAAAGACAGTTAAATGCTTTAGGATTATATATTCGAGTATGTTGTATGACGTTCTGGTGAGCGATCTTGGTCTGAAATGAGAGGGAACAGCTGTATCTCCAGATTTGTGTATTGGAATAATCTTTGCTATTTTCCTTTCGGATGGAAGTTTAGCAGTTTGAACAGATTTGCGATATATAATGCCCAGGTAATTAATGCAGCACTCTGCATATTCTAACAGAAAATTGTTGGCGATATTATCAGGGCCGCATGCGTTTTTGGAGTCTAAGTTCAGAAGAAGAATAAAATACCCTCATCACTTATAACTAATAGTTCAATTGGCTTTGCGACAATCGGAATAATTGTAGGAGTGATATGAATGTGTATTGATTCACGAAGTACTTATTCAAGTAATTTGAAAGAAAATATTTGTTTAACCCTTTACCTCTCTTGCTGTACAAATTGTGGTGATGTTCATAAATTCCGCAGGTGGCCCCGATAGCGTTCAAAGCGGTGTAGTAGATATTTTTCGCAATATTACCAGCGTATATAGATGCCTCGTACTGTAGTTCACATACTAAATTTACATAGCACAATTTCGCGTAAGGCCGCACACGATAGGTTGTTTTCATTAGCCGCACAAGAATTAAAGTGACAACTTTGAGTAAACATCCCACATACTATTTAATTTTTGCTGCCACATCATTGAAATGCGAATTCTACGATATGTGGTTTTCATATATTACACCGAGAAATTTTGCGCTGAACATGCTGCCTTTGTTACCGCGGAGGCCAGGAGTGACCACTCACCCTGACGCTGTCTGTGTTTTCACGGCGGCGATTGGCAGGAGGATTCGCGTATGCTAAGGAGTGCAAGAGCACACAGAGATCGAGTTTAAGCGAAACCATCTTGAGAAGGCAGCCGATAGGTCTTCGAAGCTTGCCGAGAACGAAGAGGTTGTTCGTAGGCGGCGTGAGGCGTCTTGTTGTGCCGTGCCTAGTAGATATCAAGCATAGGAGAGAGAGAGCGAAGAATTCGATAATTTCGCCATAGAGCACTCTGCAACGACGCTCAACTCAACGCCCAAAACCTGCCTAAAGACAAACTCGATTCTACAAAAAAAAAAAAAAAACAGAAAGCTCACTGATAGTGCGCTTTGTGCCGGGGGTGCAGTTTCAGTTCCATGTTCAACCGAGAAGAGGACATGTGGTGGTGAAACCTTAGATGTCGCCGGTCAAAGCCTGTGAGATAGGAGGCCGGTGACCCCTGCGTGTCGCGTACTCTTGCGTTAACAAAAATCAGCCAGGGCAAGTTTTAATTTATTACGTGGGCAGTTACAGGAAAGTGAATAAGGTGAGGTTACTAAATTTCGCGGGAAACTTCTTGTCTTGATTGAACGAGAGGTTCTACTCGGTCTTGCTTGTGTTGCGATCATTTTTTTTAATTGGTACTCTACAAGATTATCTGTGCCTTCTACACCCGGACTTTCATGACTGATAATTGTTTGTACTTCTCATTTCTTCCGTTACTTAAGATGACCAGTAAAATTGTTCTATAAATGTATGGTAGGCACTAAATGAACTCCAAGATTGTTCGTCCTAATTCACCGTTCTCAGCTCATAAAATTGTGACATTTACAATCACGTTTCCTTCCAGTTAAATGTGGACGTTTTACCTTTTGTTTTATCTCATTAGTTAGAGAAATTCTCATTCAAGCCATATAGAAACAAATATTTTTCCAAGGTCAGAGGTTCCACGTAGGCTGTTTCAGTCGAATTTTGGTACAAACGCAACAGTAGACACCCGTGTATTGTGCGTTGTCAGAGCCTGGTGAAAAAACCCACGTGGTCAAATTTGCCAGAAACCCTCACTACAGCGTCCGTCATATTCATAACGTGGTTTATATGGTGGACTTCCGAGTGCGTGCGGCGCTTTTATACCGTCATTTATGTGGTGTACTTCATTTTAATTGCTAACAAACATTACCTCTTCCCCTTGAAAAGCACATCGCGAACTTCAACTTCATAATCGACATTGCATTATACCCTTCCTTGGCAAAAATATAATTTACTTACCGTTATTGCAATACATGTACATGGCAATGTGTTCCACGGTATGGTTATCGTAAATTCAGTTTAACTATGCTTATTTACAAGTGAGATCAGGCGACGATCAGTGACAATGGCGCACATAGGCCGAACCAATCAACTTTCTCTTCCTTCGTCCAGAGCATGGCCCAGCTTTGATGTATCAGTCTCTGGTGCGCATACGAAGCCCGCTGGGCGAGTCAAATCACTCGTAGAGTGCGATATGAAACAGCTTGAGACGACCTACATGCGCCAACTGGGTTCGGCTTGACCGACGATCAGGTGATGTCAAGCGTGCGACAACGTAGGTCATGTCACTCAGATAATTTACAATAGCGATTGGGCTGACATGATGCCATGAAAATTTCTGGCATAAGCCATGTTTCCATGAGGAGTCCACAACCACACAAGGTCCCCTTTTTTGAGAGAAACGGTGTCATGGCGTTGGTAACACCTCTGCTTGGAATGATCTTGCGGTGCCAGTGTGCGAATATGAGCAATTTTGCGGGCTTCTTCAGCTCGGCATGGTGTTCGAGAAACTGAATCGTCCCTATGGATCGCAATTAGAAGTATTGTATTGAGACAGCTGCGCGAATGTCAAGCGTACAGTAGGTAGAACAAAGTAAGGTCCGTTGATTAATTGATTCATTGATTGAATAACATGTGGGGTTTAATGTCCCAAAACCACCATATGATTATGAGAGACGCCGTAGTGGAGGGTACCGGAAATTTCGACCACCTGGGTTTCTTTACCGTGCACCCAAATCTGAGCATACGGGCTTACAACATTTCCGCCTCCATCGGAAATGCGGCCGCCGCAGCCGGGACTTGCTCCCGCGACATGCGGGTCAGCAGTCGAGTACCTCAGCCACTGGACCACCGCGGCGGGGCAAGTGAAGCTCATGGTTTCGCGCTTCAGTTTAGTATAAGCATAAATGTTGAACGGCAAAATCTCATCCCCGTTCTTGTGATTCTATTAGACATACATAACCAGCAGTAAGCGTGCGGTTTGTACGTTCGACAAGGCCATTCGTCTTGGAATGATATGGTGTTGAATGGCGAAACTGTGAAGTGCAGATATGAAGCAACTCTTCTATAGTGTTGGCGACGAATTGGCAACCACGATCACTGATGATGACATGAGGCGCACCATGGCGAAGAACGATGAATTGTAACGGGAAAGCAGCGACATACTGCGCTGTGGCAGATGGTATCGCAGCGGTTTCCATATACCTGGTGATGTAATCGACACAAACTATGATCCAGCGGTTGATGTTGCAAGACCGCGGAAACGGTTCGAAAAGGCCGAAACCAACTTTTTGGAAATGTGTAGGGGGTGGCGTTATAGGGTGAGGAAGGCCATGCGGACTGCTTGTAGGTCGCTTGTGGCGCTGGCACTTGTCGCACCTGGAGACATATTGCTTCGCATATTGTCGCATTTTAGGCCAGTAGAAGTGCTCTTTTGTTCGTTTAAAGTGCGGGTGAATCCAAGATAGCCTGACGTCTGGTCATTATGCATGAAGAGGAGGACGTCGTACCACAAACTTTGGGGAACCACTAGCAAATACCATGCACCATTTTCTAAGAAATTGACCTTGTAAACAGTTCATCGCAAAGACAAAAGTGACCACTGCCCTTGGGTTTTTCTGGTAGTGGTGAACAAAGAGTCTAAAGTCAAGTCGTTGCGCTGTTGCCTCTGGAACATTGTGACGTCATGAAATGCGAATGAAACAGTAGCAAAGTAGATGTCGAACGTGTCTGCATTATTGTCAATCGTAGAACGTGGAAGGCGAGAAAGACAATCGGCGTCGGAATGATGCCGTCCACCTTTGTATGCCACATTAAAGTCGAAATCCCAGAAGCGTAGAGCCCAGTGTACAAGGCGGCCAGAATGGTCTCGTAGAGTAACGAGCGAGCATAGAGAATGATGGTATCTTAAAATCGTTAAAGAACGCCTATACAGGAAGCAACGAAACTTCTGAACAGCAAATACGAAAGCCCAGCATTCTTGTTCGGTTACAGTTTCTTTACCGGTTCGGTTACAGTGTAATTTTTTTCAGCCTTGCTGAGGGAACGACTTGTATAGGCAACGACACGCTCCCTGTCATTAGGACGCTGAACAAAAACGCCTCCGATGTCAATACCGCTTGCATCACTGCGCACTTCTGTAGGAGCAGGTGAATCGAAGTGACGGAGAAGAGGCTCTGACGTCAGCAGAAATTTGAGTTGACAGAAAGCAGCGTCACATTCAGATGTCCACTCGAATGCACTGTGTTTTCGCAAGTGGCTGGTCAATCAATACATGATATCCGCATATTTCGGTACAAAACGTCGAAAATAAGAACATTACCCGAGAAAGCTGCGAAATTTCTTTACAGACGTAGGTGGCTTAACGGCGCTGACCGTTTCCATTTTCCGGGGGTTCAGCCTAACCCCATGTTTGTCTACTGAATGGCCAAAGACCAAGGCCTGCCGTTCACCAAACTGAAACTTGTTGGAGTACAAAACGAAGCCAGCCTTTTCGACACAGTCCAGAACGAGGTTTAAACGAACTTTGTTCTTCATATGTGCGCCCAAAAATGAGAACGTCGTCCATATAGCACAAACAGATCTCCCATTTTAGTCCGCGAAGAATGAAGTTCATCAATCTTTCAAAAGTTGTGAGACCATTGTATAGCCCAAACGGCATCACATTGAACCGATATATATATATATATATATATATATATATATATATATATATATATATATATATATATATATATATATATATATATATATATATATATATATATATATATATATATATATATATATATATATATTCTTCCCGATGAAGGCCCGACTCTAGGCCGAAACGTCGAAACAAACCACGTTGTGACCACTCACGGAGGATCTACTAGATTATATGCAACGCTATGGCCACTCAACCACAATGCCTGCCTATATATATATATATATATATATATATATATATATTGTAATGAATTATTGAATCTTAATAAGAATAACGGACGCTCTGCTGGCAATGAAGAAGACGACGATGATGGGTGGCTGCAGTAGTAGCTCGCGCACGCCGCTCGCCATTAGCCAGACCTGCCTGATAAAGCATATTTTGCCAAGCTGCGTCTGAACCTTTTTCGGCGTACAACACCTCTATTTTAAGTGGTGGAGGAGCCGGGGTTCCCATCAACCTGGAACTTCGCAATCGGACGCTACCCTCACCGTTCACCATGACTGCTCCTGGCCCTTCTCATGCTGCCTTACCAACGACAGTCTACTGTACTGGCGTACCTCGGCAACGCGACCCACCAATTTTTCGCGGCAACGACGAACAAGACGTCGAGGACTGGCTCGCCGAGTACGAAATCGTAAATGCTTCCAACAAGTGGAACGCCTGCGACCAGCTCACAAACGTGCGCTTTTACCTCGCTGATGTGGCCAGCCTCTGGTTCAAGAACCACGAAGGCGAAATCACAAACTGGTCCGCCTTCAAGACCACCATCGCCGCGGTCTTCGGTCGTCCCGCAGTGCGCCGGCTTCGCGTGGAACAGCGTCTCCGTAGTCGAGTCCAGCGCAGAGATGAGACCTTTACAAGTTACATTGAAGATGTCTTGTCTCTTTGCAAGCGCGTCGACGAATCTCTAACCGAACGCGACAAAATCAAGCACATCATCAAAGGAGTTGACGACGATACCTTCCAAGTGCTCGTCGCTAGGAACCCACAGACCGTCACCGATGTTGTCCAGCTCTGTCAGGAGTACGACGAGTTGCGTAAGCAGCGTGTCTCGACGCGCAGGGCCGCTGAAGATACGGCTGAAGTTTCCGCCCTCGTGCACGACGTCGCTGCTGAACACAGTCTTACTGCCCCACATAAAACAAT